ACACAACTTTCTTTCTGATGAGCTTGAACATCAGGTTGCACAGGCTGCACATCTTTTCAGATGTTTGTTGGGTTTTCTGCTTTTCTCTCCTGTGATTTCTTGTTCTTGGATTCTTATTCTTCTGTTGGGTTTTTTAAAAATTGGTTTGTTGGAATTCTTTGTGTGTTGTGAAGACTGATTCTCAGTTGGTTATATACAGCATATGTATCTTCTCAAGATTGTTTTCAGTCACTTGTGCTTTTGGTGTATTGTTTAAGAAATCCTTCCCTATATTAAGGTCATAAAGATATTTTTCTGTATATAGGGACAGAGATTTTATGACCCATACAATCTAGAATATTTCCTCTCTGGTCCTTTGTAGAAAAAGTGTGATGCTTGCTCTAAAGAGTCTCTCAACTGAAGAATTTTTGTTTTTCCCCCTTGTGGAACATAATGTCCATCTTGTTAGAAAATGTGTGACTTAATTGTCAACTAATAATAAATTAAAATGGTTTTTATGAAGTAAATTTTATAGCTTATCCTTAAGAATATTTTGTAGTTGCATTCAGAAAATAATGCACTTAGAGTACTAAGTGAAACTGGTATTGATAATCTCCTATACAATACCTTGTAGAACAATTAAAAAGTGAAGATCTCTTTGTTGGTGGAATGAAATGATCTTTGTCATTGTCTTCTATTTGGCTTAATATGTCAGGAATTCTAATGTTTCTTGAATGAATGAATGGATGAATGGATAGATGAATGAATGAGATAGTACCAGTAGAGTGCTTAGCGCAGGGACAGCCTTAATAAATGATAGTTATCAAATGAATATATCAGGATATGTGTTTGCCACTCATGACTAAAGTGGCCCAAATATTAACATAACAAGATGATTTTTCTTTTTGTTCTTGAAAGATAAAAAATTGTTCTGTACTTTTTTTAAAAAGCTAACCTTTTTATTTTGAGGTAACTTTTTGATATGTGAAGAAGTAAAATTTGGGCATCAATTAAATATCTACAGATAAATAAAATGTGGTACATGGGTACAGTATTTGGTTTAGGGACATTAGTCACAATCCATCAATTAAAAAAATTAAGTTACAGTTATATGCAAAATACCATACTCAATGAATGAGTATATGAAGTAACTTAAGACATAGTTTCTGTCCTCAGGAATTTGCAGTGTGGTTGAAAGACAATGCATGCACATATGGAAAAGTATGTTACTGTTTCATGGACCTAGTTTTCTCTTTATTTCATGGAGATAAAGCTTATTTCTGGTCTTTTTCCCCTCTCTACTTCTTTATGTGCTTATTTTTCATATTAAATATCCTTTTACGCTTACTTGTAGAATTCAGTTCATAGATTCTGTTTATATACTCCCCTGATTTATGAATTCACAAAATAACTTTTCTGACAATGCAGTCATTTCTAACTACTCCTTTATTATTATCCTTTTTTAGGCATATTTAGTCACCTTGCTAATTTTTATTTTTCCAAGTAAATATAGTAATTTTAACTAATAATTTTCATTGTTGTTCAGGGAAAAGTTTGGCGAGAGCTATGAAACTTTAGAGGTTGACATAGTTATCTTAATCTACTTATACTTCTGATTATAACCTTGTGAAAGGAATAGTGGCAAGGACTCAGAAGTTGCCCTTTCAAGGTCAAATATTATATTCATTCTTTATCCTTTCAAAAAACATTAATGCATATCTATATAGTCTGACAAGGGAGGGAATAAACAGAAATTGTTGGACACAAAGATAATTTTCTAAAATCCCTGGTTGCTCCTAAGAACAGTGTTTGGCTATTGTAGATTTGAAATGTATTTTTAAACAGTTGACTCCTACATATGGAACTAATACAACTGTCACATCCACATCTCTTATGATAGTAGATTTTTTGGGGGCTGTTATTTGGGTTAAGTTTTCTTGCCTTTTGTTAAAAGGAACTCTAGACAGTTTCCAGCTATGGGAAAAGAAGCCATCTATTAAAGAGATTAGTTCTACCATATGATGTTGCTACAGTTCTTAGAGATTCCAGATTTGGGGAGCCTATGTGTTTTATCTTACTTGACATTTAGGTATATTAGATGAGAAAAAATACTTTTTAATTTATTCTCCAGTTTCCTGATACAATCTATATAAATTTAAAGAGCAAAAACAAAAGGAAAATATCCCTGTGGGAAGTAAACTTGGTCATTTGTCAGCAGGATAATTGCTTGGTGAAAAATACTTGATTTTATTCACCTGTTGTTTTAAGATCCCTAGGTCAAAGAGTTTCAGAGAGAGGCTAGAAAATATTAGCCTAATTTTGAACTAGAGGATTTTATGAGTTCTTATCATTGCTGTTTTCAGGATTCTTTCTCTGTTGTCATACAAAATTGAAAGTTACTGATTTTGGTACAAATAATTCTCTTTTGTTCCTAAATAATTGTGTTTTTTTTTAAGCCTCTGTTCTATTGTTGCATTCAGCGTTTTCCATCTTCAACTATGATTATACCAAATCCTTTAAATTCAATAGAAGATCACTTCTGAAGAAGTAATTCCTCTTTAATACTGCAAATAAATAAGAATCAACTTTCTTAGTTTCTGTCTTCTCCTCTACTTGCCCAGCCACTCACTGAAAACCATCATCTTGAGGAGTTACCTTTGATTTCATAAATTGTATAATTCAGAACACTGGAAGACTTAACAAACATAAAACTTTTAAATATAAAGATTAGTTGTGTTTTATAATTTTTTTCAATTATGGAATGAAAAAACATTTAAGGTACGTAATAAAGCTACTCTAGTGAGAACTTTGTAAAACAAGTCCTGTATCTTTTGCTTTTGTTAGTTATGCTGTTAGTATAACATTTTAAGATAAGCAGATCCCTTAAAAATATTAGTGCAAATACTGCTTTTAAAATTAAAACATTTGCATGCAAAGCAGAAAGTTATAAGACTGTATAATAGCATCCTTTTTTTATTGGAAAAATATGAAAGATATAGTTACATGTAGGAGGATCTGCTAGTTATATGTGGTGGTTGACTTATTTTGTATTTTTCTATAGCGATTGAATTTTTTGTGTAGAAAAATAGCAGAATGAAAATAAAAGGAGTAGATCCTAAAGCTTTAAGTGGAATACGTTGAAAAGTATCATATCAAAAAGTAGGTTTTCCAACCCATGGGAAAAAGACTACTTTATTGAATTACTTTTAGGCTTGTATATATCCAATAGAGAATATCATAGTGCATTGGGCCCTAGCATTCTGATATTCACAATGAATTTAACTGTATCATAGGGAAGAGATATAATTGAGTAAAAAGATTGAAAATATGAAAATAAACTAATTCTGCTACCAAGAGTTACTTTAATTCTTTTAAGTTAATTAATTTGATCATTGAAAAAGACTAAAAGGAATTCAGTCAGAAATACCGTGATATAATTTGCATTCCATTTTCTGTGTGACCAGAAATTGTTAGATATTGCAACATATGTAACATAAACCACATGTCAGCTGTTTCCTGCCTCACTGTTGACAAGAGCCCCATTCATAACTCTTCTTTTTATCCTTTCAGTGAATAAGTAATTATTCAATATAGAAGGCAGGATATTTGGAACTGGCTATTTAATGTGGCAGCACTCTGTAATGAAATCTGCTGTTACTGGCAACCTGAGAGGGGAATGTAACAATTCCAGCATGGCTGTAACTTTATCTGCTTTGACTGACTGTTTATTTGGCACATCAGTGAACCTTTTATCCCAGTGAGTGACAGCTCCAGAAGGGTCACATTTACATCCATTCTATCATGTATTGTAATATTTAATGGCGGACAAGGTTGAGCGAGACTGGGAGTAATTCGAACTTGCTTTTCCACTGAGTTGAGGCTAAAAGACAGCTTGATCCCCAGTATTGTGGTGTAACATGCTATGACTTAGCATTTGTTTATGAAGGCTAATCTTACTGATTATAATTAAAAAAAAAAAAACCCTTCAGTTAAATGGAGTGTTTGTTCTATTAAACTTAAACTCTCTGGTACAAGTTCTCTTAAGCTACTGTGCTATTTAGTATTTTTCCTATCAGTGACCATTCCTATAAACTAACCATTTCTTAATCTTTCTCTTAAAGGAGGCTGCATTCTGTCTCATTTGTATAGTAACTGAGGTTGAGAAGAGAGGAGTTATTAAGAACCAGTGTGTTCTAATATATAGCATTAAGCTTTTTTTAAAAAAATTTTTGAGTTTGAAACTAGAGAGAAGTCAGGTAAATATACTGTACTCCTGATGTTCCATGTGGTATATTTAAGGAGCCATTTATATAACTTTTAATTATGAAACTGAATTGAGTAAAATTGTCTAGGAAAAGCTATCTTGAATGATAATTGTACTGATGGATTTATATTCCATGACCGGTAATTGATTTCAGATATACTTGTTCCACACAAGCAACCTGTCTTCATTATTAAGTATTAATAATTTGAATTCATTTTCATACTTTTGCTAGCAAATAGTTTTCTCATTGTTTTTGAGTGATGATTTAGATTCAACTTGATGTTTCTATTCTTTTGTAAGTTATGATTAAAATACTTTTTAAAATATTGGTTTATTATAGGATATATGAATGGATTGTGCTGTGAAGAAAATAGCACTCTTAAATCTAAACTGTAATATCACAGTTCACTTGAAGCCTAAGCAAGAATGAAAATTGTCTTTCATTATTTTTTAGTTTTATAATTTATGAAAGAGGAGAATTAAAATGTACTTAGAACATTTGGAATTTGAGAGTTGGAGTAGTATGTTAGAAAACAATGCAAATATGGAAACGTTTGTAACTTGAGTGAAAGAGAACCAATTTGAAATTGAATCTGCAGTTTTTTCTTTAAAGGCAATTTTAGATGATGTGACATTATGGAATTTCCCTTTATTTGGCAATTGTGATTCACTACTTATAGTTTTGATTCCATGAAAAGTTTGATAAAAATTTCATGGTAGACCAGACATTAGCTATCTTTTCTTTCCTTTGTTACAGCCCCCTGGTCACTGTTGTAGGTGCTGTTCTACTAAACAAGGAAACAGTGAAGATTCTTCAAATACCACTAAGAAGGATCATGGGGGGAAGTCCAAGATACCCAAAATATACTTTGGGACACGCACACACAAGCAGATTGCTCAGATTGCTAGAGAGCTCCAGAGAACAGCGTACTCAGGGGTCCCGATGACTATTCTTTCCAGCAGGGATCATACTTGTGTCCATCCGGAAGTAATAGGTAACTTCAACAGAAATGAAAAATGCATGGAATTGCTGGATGGGAAAAATGTGAGTAAAATTCATTTATTTTAGGCAAAAAATTAGGCTGAAAAGATAAAAATTGCTCTAATGTGTTCATTTTATATGTACATTTACAGGAATAACTTATGTCAGATCGATTGCTAGTGTTGATATTTTTTTAAAAGTAATTTTACCATAAGCAAATGTTTTATTCAAGTTTAAAATTATGAGTTTTTGTCCTAAAACGTGGGGATATTTATTTATTTATTTTGGGGGGGATATTTATTTAATTCCTTGAAAATTAATTTCCATGTCTTAATTTCTTCTTTTAAAAACAGTCAAACATGCAGGTCAAATGAGGAGTACAAAACATTTAAGTGATTTAGCCTAACTAGATCTAGTTGACATATTTTACATATTTAGAAATTTCAGAAGAAGGTAATTTACATAGGACCTCTCTGGGCAAATTTTAAAATGTTTTTTAATTGAGAAATGTAATGACTGTACTGTCATAATTCTGATTAGTATAAACTTCTTTTAAAAATTACAGTAAATTATTAACTAAAGATATGTTATTTATGGCTTTGAAATTTTCTGGGGAAATTTAGAATAATATGAATTTTGGCTAGGTGGAAATAAAGAAATCTCACTAAAGTCATGATTTTTTGATAATATTTTGTCAGTATTAGTTTAGTTGTCTGTGTACCAGTTAGATAACTAGTTTACTCTAAAATTGAAGTTACAAGTCTGGAATTATACCCAGAAATTATTGATGAATTGATAGTATATGAAATGACCAATGATATTTTAATATATTTTGAAAGTTCTGTCTTTCTGTATTTTGTCAAACATAGTTGGTTCTACACAAAAGTCTAAGAGCTAGCTATAGCTTCTTAGACTCTAGTTTCATTTAACTGTATATCGTCTCCTAATGTATAATGTGAACAGATTATTTTTGTATTACGTTTTTCTTTTTCAGTGCTTCCTACTATTATGTGAAATTTATTCAACCTTTATTGGGATTATTCAAAAGAAGCCTCAATAGATACTCAAACCCGATAGATAGTATGAAATATAAGTACTAAGGGGCTTCAGTGGAAAAACTTAAGTGACTTTTTTAGAATCAAGAAGAAAATACAGAATAACTGAATCAAAACCATTGTTATAATTGTATGATCATATTTGTTTCCGTATATATTCTTTTTAACTGAGGAATTGTGCAACCTTTTTCACTGTATACTTAAAAAGTTCTCTTCAAAGAGAGAGAAAAATATTAAAAAGCTGAATGTTAAAAAAAATAATAAAATAGAGAAAAGGCTCTTCATGATAAAAACCCATAAATTTTATACTTAAGTAGACTTCTTTCCATATGTGGCTAAAAGATCTACTAAATTCCTCAAATGCTTGAAATTTGTTTTTAGTCTGTGCAGGAAGTTTTGCTGGTGTTGTCATTATCTTTTGCTACTTGTTATTGAGAAACTTATCATGCGATTATGCATTGAAAGCAAATATTTTATGTAATCTTTTAGAATGTGTTGGTTATGTTTTTTGATTGATCTTTACTCTTCCAAGTTTGAATCTTGTAAAAATAAAAATCACATAGACTTGAATATTCAGAACATTTCACTGGCCTTCAGGTTCTGTTTTAAAGTAAACAAACCTTTTATTTTTGAATATTAACGATATAAGTAATTGAAGATATCTGCATTTGTCTTGACCTAATTCTGCCTCAGAATGGCTAGCTCATAAGGCGTACATGAACATTCTCTTTCTTGTTCCCAAGCCATGAGTGTAATTTGGTATTGTAATGAGGGGCAATTACAAAGTCACTAAAGGTGTCTGTGTTTACTATGGCTGAATTACCAAAGAGAAATGATAAATAGATAACTGACAGTTTAAGTGAAAAAGAGTTGAGTGTGATAAAACTTCAATTGACAGACTCTCCTCTGGGTTATATTACACTGCTAAAATGGATGAGCTTTTCTGGTTTTGCTATCAGCCTGCACAGCAGTGTCATTCTAAGTGCCCTTAAAGTGTAAACTTTCTGATTTTTTGGCTTGATCCAAAGGCACATGTGTTTTTGTTCACTGTTTCTTTTATATTCCTATACTGGAAAAGCAATGTACATATCTGCTAAAAGTCAAATTTTGTTTCAATTAAGAAAAAATCATCTTAACTAGCTCTAGAAATCATTCTAAAAAATTATTTTAGGTGTAGAAGAATATCTTTTTTTTTATTAAGATGAGATTTAACAGTCCATAACCATAGACTTGAAGACATCTTAGTGATCAATTTGTTATCAATACAAATAAAAACTTTCAGAATAGTATGAAAGGTACTTGGAATGAAGAAAAGATGTGTCATTATTAAGCTCAATCTGATATCAAAGTCAGTATGAAAGATACTTGACATATTTCCAACTGTCTCTAGACCCCAAATCATAAAATTTTAGAGCTAGAAGGAACCTTAGAAATGGCAGTCAGTGGTCGGAGAACTCTTAAAAGGCTTCTAGTTCAGCTACTCTTGATGCCCAGTCACATGAGAAAGATGGGCCCTGAAGTCTGCCCAGTGACAGAAAGGAAGAAGCAAGTTTTCTCTTAACTGTTAGAGTTTTCACTGCATTAGAAACAAAAACAAACAGTGGCATATGGTATAGGGAAGTTGACATGGCATGAAGTATTAAAAAGAATTAGAGATTAGATAAAGTAAGTGAAAATAATACAAAATTGAAGCAAGTAAATTAGAAAGGTGAGCCCTTTCTAATTCTTATTTTTAATACCTTGGAGGAACAATAAGTGGTATGGCTGAATTAGCAGTCCTCAGCTGATCATGCCTTGTCCTTGAATTTGCAGACATTCTTTTGTAAGTTATAACCTTTTTATAAGTTACTCCATTTCTAGCAGTGTCTAAATATTTTTGTATATGTAATGATGTATGACTATTTTAAAAACAAATTTTCATTTTTGATAGTTTGTAGATAAAAATACACACACACACACACACACACACACACGCACATATATCTCCCCAGTGGTTAAGGATAGCTAACTGGGAAAGATAAGTATTAGTTTTCAAAATCACATTAATTTTTTTATTGATATATAAAATTAATGAAAATTAAAATGGCACATTATTTCACCACCTAGTACCAAATGGCGATTGAAAAAGAAAACTAGCATACATGGTTAGAGACTCAAAATTATGGAAAGGTATTAAATGAAAGGAGAAGATCTCTCTTTTTAGTTCTTTCCATCCTTTTAAGGGACCTACTATAAAGTTTTATGTATATTCTTCTAAAACATTTATAATGTGTGTTTTGTATAATGTATGTGTATAGATTATTTTTAAAGCTTAAAAATCAGCACAAAGGCAAATCAACCTCATTTTTTAAGGACCATACTTGGGTTCAGTCCCTGGCTTGGGAAGATCCCCTGGAGGAGAGCATGGCAACCCACTCCAGTATTCTTGCTTGGAGAATCCCCATGGACAGAGGAGCCTGGTGCTCTGTAGTCTATGGGTGGGGTTGCAAAGTTGAATGCGACTGAGCGACTAAGCATTGCACATAACATTTATATGAATTTGTCAGAATTTATTTAACATATACCCTGTTGGTGGATATTTAGTTTCTTTCCAATTTGGTGGGAGCTGTTAAACAGTGCACTATATATATAATTACATTAATGGTGAAATTTTATTTGGTAGTTAAATTTCCTTTGTACTTCTAATAGAAGTTTATACTTCTAATTTTATACACCTTTTAATAGGATATGGTGCCTTTGCCAGGACTGCATTTTATCAAACATCTTATTTTTTGATTAGTGTATATATGTTAATAAAATTTTTTTAGTTCCAATAATAGAATGGCAAAGGACATTAGTAGATAGTACCTGAAAGAAGATTCTGTTTTTGCCTTTAAAATAAGCAAAAATAAAAAAAGATAACGTTGATAAAGATGTGGAAAAAGGGTAATATAAAATGTTCATAAACATTTTCTGGAGGATAATTTGACGATATGGTTTTCAAGAAACTTAAAAATACACTCTCTGATCTCATAATGCCATTTCTAAAAATGTATGATGAGAAAATATTTAGAAATGGGCATAAAATTTCTTATTGCAGCATTATTTATAATAAAGCAGAAATTGAAACCAGTCTAAATGTCCAGTGATCAACTGGTTCATCAGATGTGGCACATTAGTCCAATATATGTAAGCAACAATGGAAAAAGACTTAGTGATATAAAAAGATATATTTGATAAGATTTTCAATAAAATAGGCTATGAGAAAAAAGGCAGTACCAGTTTTGTAAAAACTACTTAGTGACGAGATTGTTAGTAATCCTCAGTGCATGCACCTGGGGAAAATTTGATTTGTTCTCATTTTAATATTGGTTCACATTACAGAGATATATTGATATATAGAGAAGAAATCTGAAATGAGATATATCAAAATATTAATAGTACATTCTTTATATAATGGGGTTTTAGGTAATATAGATTTTGGTATGCTTGTATTTTCCAATTTTATATGATGAATACTTTTGTCCCCTGGGACATTTCTTCTTCCCTCTTTCCCACTTTGCATTCTTTTTTCCTTCCTTTGTTTTTATTAATATTTGCATTTGATTAAGTAGTACTGTCTCATGGCTCAAATGGAAAAGATACAGAAATGTCTATAGAGAAAAACCTCTCTCAGTCCTACCCCTAAGTCACTTGGCTCTCATCTTTGAAAGCAACTAGTGATACTATTGCTCTTATGTATCTTTCCAGAAGTATTTTTGCCTAATATCACTTAATCAGAACATGAGTCACAACAAATATACTTTAAAAATATGTTTCTCCATATACACTACCATCTGTAAAATAGAGAGCCAGTGGGAATTCGCTGTGTGACAGCCTAGAGGCAAGGGGAAGTGTGGGAGGTGGGAGAGAGGCTCAGGGGGAGGGGACGTGTGTGCACAGGTGTACATCTCGAGGGACATTCTATTGATGTGTAAAATTAGTGATATATAACATACATGATACATAAAATTAATGTAAACATATATACATGTTTCAGGACAGGTATACGTATCCTGACATTTTATTGCTATATAAAATTAATGCTATTTTATTGATATATAAATGTCATATATATTGATATATAATATACACAACACATGCCACATATGTCATATATCATAAATGACACGTGTGACACACATGTCATATATATGAGATATATATGTCACATGACATTTTATTGCTATATAAAATTAATGTAAACATATATACATGTTTCAGGACATGTATACATGTATACATATGTATCCATTGGCTGATACGTGTTGATGTATGGTAGAAACCAACACAATATTGTAAAGGAGTTATCCTTCAATTAAAGATTATTTAATAAAACTGTTTCTCAAGTTAATCTGGAGTGTCTAGAGCTGTACTGGTCTGGAGTGCTATCTGAGTTAACTAATGTAGTTATTTAAAATGGTTATATTATAGAGCTGGTGCACTCTGTCTCCTCTGTTAAATTTTTATATTGTGGCTTTAATTATGTTTTAAAAATTCTGAGATAAACTTGTTTTAGTTCTTCTGTTCTAGTGTTTCAACTGTACATATTTGTTTTCAGGGAAAATCCTGCTATTTTTATCACGGTGTTCATAAAATTAGTGATCAACACACATTACAGACTTTCCAAGGGATGCACAAGGCCTGGGATATAGAAGAACTTGTCAGCTTGGGGAAAAAACTAAAGGCATGTCCATATTACACAGCACGAGAACTAATGCAAGATGCTGACATAATATTTTGTCCCTACAACTATCTTCTAGATGCACAAATAAGAGAAACTGTGAGTGCACATATAAAAATTAAAAGAATTTTTTTCTTGTTTATTGGGATATAAGTGATGGATTTAAAAACTTAGATGTTTTAATGCCTTTTGCTTTATATTTAATTTATGAAAAATGTATAAACAGAATGTTCAAAGTGTATATTAAAAAATGAATTTTAGACATTATCATTTTAATTATCAAAGTAATAAGTGCTTTTAAGGACCTAGTACTGAAGTGGAATTACAAAAGAATTTTTCAACCTTGACAGTAATGACGTTTTGGGCTAGATACTTCATTGTGGTGGGCTGTCCTGTGCATTATAGGATGTTTGTTAGCATCTCTGGTTTTTACATTAGGTGCTAACAGCACACTCACAGTTGTCACAGTCAAACATGTCTCCAGACATTGCAAAATATCCCCTCGACTGCAAAATTATCCCCATTTGAGACTCATTTATAGCTATCACTTTATGAATAGTCAGAATTATTATAAAATATTCATCTAAAGAATCTATGTTTTGAAGAACTTACATTGGGAGAATATGCATAGTATGCAAATTATTCTTTGTGAGCTTTGAATAAGTGAACTTTGGATACAGCATTTGTGTTTATTTGCCTGGTTCTTAGAGACATCCAGTTGTTACCACATAAGACAAAGAATGAGTAACGGTATATTATTACTCCTCTTTTTAGAACTGACTGTACAACTCTCTTTAGCTTTCTATTTCTGGAAGTTCAAAATGAATGGGCATTATATTTAATACCCCTATGATTGAGCATGTACAAAGCCTATCACAAGGACTTCTCAGCCCCTTCTGCCTCCTTGCCTTCAGCTCATCCAACTATACATCCTTTTGTTTGGTTGCCTTTCAACTAGGTCTCTTTCCTTTGACCAACTGTGTATATCAATGCCAAGTCAGTCTTTTTAATATTACTTTTATAATATCTTTCCTCTGCTTAAAAATCTCGTGGATAAAGTCCATATTTCTCAAGCTTTCTCTCAAAATGATCAGTGGTCTGACCTGAATCAGCCTTTTCTGCTACAGACTTCCAACTTGAGCACTTGAAAAATTACCTCAACATCTCCTGAGGATACCTTGTTCTTTCCTGTATCTCTGCTTTTGATTACACCTCTGTGTATTGAATTGCCCTACTCTCTCTCTCCAAATCCAAATTCCACTCATCTAAACCCCAGTATATTTCCTACTCTTTCATTTTTTTTTCTCAGCCATCTTTAGCCCTCTGTATGTTGTTATTCCTCAGAATAACTCAGTGACAATTGCTTTGTTTCATTCTGTATTAGAACTCTTTCAGTTGCCATGGACACAAACCCAGCTTTGGTAAAACTTATGAAAAAAAAATACTTGACTATTGTGGTGGCTTTATAATCAGGCAAGTTCTTCCCAGTGGAAACAGTGATAACTATAGTCAGCTAGCTTTTTTTTCCAGCTAGGTAACCTGGAAAAAAGGATAGTCACCTATAATTACTCTGGATGGCCGAGATTGGATCTCATACCCATTCTTGAACTAGTGTGACTAGACAGGAATGGAATACTTTTATTTAACTGATGGGCCTGGGTTCTGAGTCTACCCACATTATGAGAGTGGTACCTTGATTAACAGATTAATAGTCCTGCCAGCATCACATGGGTGTTGGGGAAGAGTAGTTCTCTAAAGGATTGCAGAAAAGACTGAAATGAAACAGATACATAATACATTATATTCGTATTTTGAGAGTCTTTTGAATCTTGTGCTGTTATTTAAAAAAAAATTTTAAAAAATTTTTTTAAATCAGATTTTTAAAAATTGTGCTTTTTAAGTTATGTTGAAGATCCTTAACAATCCTTTGTGTAACCAGCTATACCTTGATCCTGGGTATTATTTTGATACCTTGGGTATTATTTGATACCGGGGTATTATATACTTGGGTATTATTTGATACCTGGGTATTATTTTGATACCAGCTATACCTTGATCCATGTATTATTTTGGTTGATAGGTTTACAAGTATTTTGAGGGTGAAAAATGGGAAACTCTATAGATATTTGCTTGGCCTAAGTGCTTTAAAAGTTTTAAGACTGAGAATCAGTTATTTCTGTAGTTGGACTTGTGATATTGGCCTGTGGTGTGAATTTTTGAATGAAGTGACCTGACTAATGCTGTTAAATCCATTTTGCTGAATGTTTTACAAGAAACCTCTTTTATCTTATAGATGGAGATCAATCTGAAAGAACAGGTTGTCATTTTAGATGAAGCTCATAACATTGAAGACTGTGCTCGGGAATCAGCAAGTTACAGTGTAACGGAAGTTCAGCTTCGGTTTGCTCGGGATGAACTAGATAGTATGATTAACTATAATATAAGGAAGAAAGATCATGAACCCCTACGAGCTGTGTGCTGCAGCCTCATTAAGTAAGAGCATTTGTCTGTCTGTGTCATCCGTGTTGCCTTTGTATTCAAAACATGTTCTGTTATGCCAAGTATTTTAAAATCAGTAAACTTGGACCAGACTACTTGGGAAATGGATTGTTCCTTGCCAGTTAAACATAAAGCCCAAACTTTCCTCTTGATTAAGTCTTTCCTTGAGGTGTTTTTGCCATGTAGAAGTTTGTCGTTTCTGTTTCACAGCATAGTTGTTAAAGAGTTGTCTGTAGTTGCTGATTCTATCTTCTCACTTCCAATTCTTTCTTCATCCATCCTAATAGTGATTCTGTATGCATAATTCTACTGAGATTGTTCTTATCAAGGTCACCAGTGGTCCACAGATTGCCCAATGCAAAAGTTATTTCTGTTATTTTACTTAGCCTCTCAGCAGTGTAGGTTGCTATTGAATACCACCTTTATGAAAAGTGTTTTTGTCTTTTGTGGAATAATAGAAATATATATATGTGTGTGTGTGTATGTGTGTATATTTATTGGTCTCTGTCCCCCGTTTCTGGCACAGAGTTCGTAAAACCTTCATAGTTTCCTAAGTGATAAGAACACTAAGAGCATCTTCGGTTTTGTTGTTTCATTTTTGACCCCAGTTCCTGACAGAACTCCTAAATCCCCTGGGATTTCCTGGGGGATAGGACTGTCTTTTATTCTAATGAGGTGATGGTTGAAGGGCTCCTGAATGGATCCAGTCACTAGAAAAGCCAAGCCACATTTAGAAGGTTGGAACTTTGAGCTCCACCTCCCCCTGGAAAGAGGAGAGGGGCTGGATATCGAGTTAATGTTCCATCATGCCTTTGTAATGAAGTCTTCATAAAAATACCAAAAATACAGGCTTCAGAGAGATTCTACATTGGTGAACACATATATATACTTGGAGTGTGGTGTCTTTCACTTCCAAAGGGACAGAAGTTTCTGTGCCCGGCAACCTTCCTGACTTCACCCTATATATTGCTTCATCTGACTTTTTATCTATATCCTTTATTATATAATAAACCAGTAAATGTGTTTCCCTGATTTCTGTGAGCTGTTCTGGTAAATGCCCAACCTGAGGAGGGGGTCATGGGAAGCTCTGACTTACAGGTATTTGGTCAGAAGCACAGATGAGAACCTGGACGTTTACAACTGGTGTCTGAGGCTGGGGAGGGAGGAGAGACAGTCTAATGAGACTGAGTACTTAATCTGTGGAGTCTCTGCAAACTCAGTTAGTGTCAAAACTGAATTGAATTATAGGACACCCGTCTGATGTCTTAGAGAATTGCTTGTGTGGGGAAAAAACTGACATACATGTGGAGACCAGAGGTATCAGAAGTGAGGCAGTGAGAACAAGCAGACACACAGGAGTGTGTTTTCTTTAGACAGCTTCTTTGACATCTCCTGGTTTTCTTCCTCCTCACAGTCAGTTCTTTTTCAGTTTCTTTTGATAGTTCTTAATTTGTTTGATGTTTAAATATTGAAGTGTGTCAGGGCTTGGTCTTGGATACTCATTTCTTTTCTAGTTCTGCATTTTCGTTAAATTACATAACTAAAAAAAGCAGTGCTGATGAGGCCTGAATCTGTGTTTGTCCCAATCTCTCCCTGGAATGCTGTGTTTATCTACTCAACTATACTTTCTCTGTTTGGATATAAAATTTCAACTTTCCAAAATACTCCTTTTCCCTACTTCCCCTGCCTGCTCTGTCTTTCTTATCTAAGCAGGTGCCACCAACCAGTTCCTCAAATAAAAAATCTAAGTATTATTCTTGATGACTGTCTCGCCTCATCCAATTCATCAGTAAGTTTTAAAAATGCCACCTACACAGTATATCCCAAATCCTTCAGTCTCATATCTTTCATCCCAGAATCATCTCTCAACTAGAAGACTGTGTGTGCGTGTGCTGAGTCACTTCAATTGTTCCAACTCTTTGCAACTCTACAGACCACACCCTGCCAGGCTCCTCTGTCCATGGGATTCTCCAGGAAAGGATACTGGAGTGGGTAGTCATTTCCTTCTTCAGGGTGTCTTCCTGACCCAGGGATCAAACCTGTGTCTCTTATGTCTCCTGCATTTGCAGCGGGTTCTTAACTACTAGTGCCACCGGGAAGCCCCTAGAACATTGCTGAAGTGAAGTGAAAGTCACGCAGTCATGTCCAACTCTTTGCGACGCCGTGGACTATACAGTCCATGGAATTCTCCAGGCCAGAATACTGGAGCGGGTAGCCTTTCTCTTCTCCAGGGGATCTTCCTGACCCAGGGATCAAACCCAGGTCTCCCGCATTGCAGGCAGATTCTGTACCAGCTGAACCACAAGGGCAGTCTCCTAATAAGTCTTCTTTCATTTTTGCCTTTCTCCTATAATGCATTCTGCCTTATAAACTGGAATCATCTTTTAACTGCTTAAAGTAGATTATCTCTCTTACTTAAAATCCTCCATTTAAAATCTTCCCATTACACTCTGAATAGAATTCAGACTTCTTATCCTGGCCCAATATGATCTGATTCCTGCCTATCACACTAACATTGCTCATACTATTATTCTTTCTGCCTGTTGTGTTGCAATTACATTGACTTTGAGGGTTTTAAGTAAGCAAAATTTGTTAATCACCCCCAGATATTCCTTCTGCTTGGAGTACTCAGTTTATTTTATTTTTTTCCCTGATTCTCACATGACTGAGTGCTTTCTGCATTCAGTTGTTAGAATAAATGTCACGTCTAGGAGAGCTTTCTTGACACTCCAAATGAAAGTAGCAATTAGATTGCATTAATCCAATTTATTTTCATAATATTACTATCATTACCTAATGTTTTCATGTTAATGGATTTGTTTCTAAGTTTATTTCTACCTCTCTTTAGTAGAATCTCATTTCCATAAGAATAAGGACCTTACCTATTTTATTTACTGCTGTATTTCCACTACCCAGTGTAGTGTCTGGCATAATACATTTAAATACTCACTGAATGTACAAATGTCTCTCTGTATGTTTATAAGTGAATATATTATTTATTTTCTAGTAATTCTATTTTAATGTTAGTATTTAACACTATAATATCTTTATTAACTTTTTTGTATTTTTATGTGCAGCCCAAATTTGTCAGTTGGAGAGACAGAGAAGTTAAGCAGTGTAAATTCACAAAACACAAATTGGGGATCACATACATCTTTCTCTTTTCTGAATAAAAGCTTGCTTTTTAGCTGTATGATTACTTTGTAATATGAAGCATACATGCTATTTAAAATATGTCTTAATCTACATTTATGTGCTAAGAGCATCAAGGACTACAGATCAATGTATCACATTTCTGTTTGTTCTGTCAAAATAGTAGTGCACATAAGGATGATGTTGGTTGATGGAATTGTTTTATTTTATTCCAGTTGGTTAGAAGCAAGCTCTGAACATCTTGTGGAAAGGGATTATGAATCATCCTGTAAAGTATGGAGTGGAAGTGAAATGCTCTTAAATTTACACAAAATGGGCATCACCACTGCTACTTTTCCCATTTTGCAGGTAAGATTTTTTTTCTGCCTGTAAAATTTATTTAGTGAATTAGAAATGACTTAATAGTGAATAATTAATCCAGAGTAAAAAAAAAGTAGCAATTGTTTTAAAATTTTATTGGATCAGTTTGATAATCTAAGTGGTGGCATAAATTATAGATGACAAAGTAGCATTATTAGTTTGAAGGAAATATAGATTAATTAATATGGAGTTAATTACTTTGCTTAAAGCTAAAAGAAGTCAATAATTTTAAGTTGTAAATATTTTGTCAATTATAAATTTTAAAATTTGGAAAATAAGATAAATTCATATTTCATTCTCCTTAACTTAGAGGTTATAAACCTGGGTGTAGAGAGATCATGAGTGGGCTACAGGATACTGTGAACCTTATGAAATCGCATTCCAAATTTTATGAGTGTGTACTTTTGTACATCTTCCTGGATAGAGGCTTCATGACTGAACACTGTCCTCATAAGAATGTTTGTTTTCAGTTCTTTGGTCTTTTTTTGCAGATGAGAATGTTTTTCATTTCTCTGTTTGTTCTTATTTATTTATATTAATTGACTTTTATTTTGGTGTGTCTAGGTAATTTTAAGTAGTTTATTCCATAATTTCATATGTAGACATAGATACATGGTTGGACTAGAAAAACCTATAGAGAAAAGTATAAATATATGAAAGGGTATATGTAAAAACTATTAAAAGGGGATTACTCCTAGGACATCAAAGCAGATACCAGGAGTGGAAGGTTGCAAACTTATTTTACATTTTACTTTTGACAGTACTTTTTTTTTTAAGAGATAAAAATGCATGATTAAAAAAATAACCTGCAGGAATGAATAACCAGTAAAACAGTTTCTTACTCTGATGTTCCTATTCCCACATCCAGAGGGAACATCTAAGTTTCTTGAATGTCCTTCACAACACAGTTTATGCAAGTAGGCATTTATAGCTTTCTTACTAGCTCTAGGGAGCCCTCAAAGACAATGCCTCTGTATTGAAAAAGTGGAGATGACTTCCCAGATCACCCTTCAGTGACAGACTTGCTCAAGTCCAGTTGAGGGGAATGTAGCTTGACTTTACTTTTTAAAGTGGTTGTTTTATGTTAAATTGAGCAAAAAGGACAGAGTTCTCATATACCACCACCCCCAGCCACAGATGCTATAGATTCTCTTATTATTAACATCTTGCAATACTAGTGCATTAATTACAGTTGAACCAATATTGTTGCATTGCTTTTAACCAAAATCCATGGTGTATGTAAGGGTACACTTTTTGTATTGTGCAAGTCTATGAGTTTTGATGAAAGCATAAAGTCATGTATTACTTTACATGTATTACATTACAATATCATACAGAATACTTTGCCTTAAAAATCTTCTGTGCTGCACTTACTCATCCCTTCAACACACCTTATGTCCTCTGCTGAGCCTTTAGTAACTATTGATTTTTATTTCTGACTCCATAGTGTTGCCTTTTCCAGAATGTCACATAGTTGTAATTACATGGCATGTGGTATTTATAGACTGGCTTCTTCCACTTAACAGTATACATTTAATGTCTTTTTGTGACTTGACAGCTCATTCCTTTCTATTTCTGAACTAAATTCATTGTATGTATGCACCACAGTTTGTGTATCTGTTTACTTACTGAAGGACATATTGGTGGTTTCTGAGTTTTGGAAATTATGAATAAAACTGCTGTAAACATTTGTGTACATGTTTTTGTATCGACATACTTTCTTCTCATTTGAATAAATTCTTAGAAACACAATTGCTGGATTGTATGGTAAGACTGTGTTTAGCTTGCAAGGAACTGTTAAACTAGCTTCCAAAGTGATTGTACCATTTTACATTCCCACCAAAAGTTAATGAGTTTCTCTTGTTCCACATCCTTGCCAGCAATTGGTGTTTTGAATGTTAGCCATTCCAGTAGATAGGTAGTAGTATCTCATTGTTGTTTGAATTTGTGTTTCCCTCATGATACATGTTGCCATCATTTCACATGCTTATTTTCCATTTACATAGTTCATTTGGTGAGATATTAATATCTCTTCACGTATTTTGCCTGTTGTTTGTTTTCTTATGGTTGAGTTTTAAGAGTTCTTTTGTTTTGTTTTGTTTTGTTTTGTTTTCCTGTTAAACAATGGTTTTATGGCTTGAGTACAATAGACAAATTTATGCCACCAGGGCAGAGGCTGTGCATGACTTGTATTTCCAATTAGTGGGGAGGACTCCTTTGGTATTATAATGTGAATATGGCTCTCAGTCAGAGTCAGATGGAATTTAGCATCTTTATCCTTTCTGTTCCTCTCAAGATGCTTTCGAACAGTGGCAGCTTTCTTAATTAAATGATAGAGATCCTCGGGAAGATCAGGAGCAAGTCCTTTGGACTTAAGAATTCTCAAGATTTTATTGCCTTCACAAAACATACTTGTGTAGCACCATGTGAATCTCTCAGATCGCACAGATTTGTGAGGAAGTCAGGCTCTTCAAGTTGGCCAGTTTGTAGATCTGCTCCTTCACGTCATCAGCTGTCAGCTTCAGCCAGGTTGGGGGCGCTCTGGCAGTAGGGCTGAACCCAATTGGGACAGGCCCTTCCTGGGCGTGTGCATGCAACCCGTGAGGGCGGTGGTATGGTAGCATAAGGTCCTTGGGTATTTCATATACAAGACCTTCATCTGATGTGTGTTTGCAGATATATTCTCCCAGCTTGTGGCTTGTTTTTTCATCCTGTTAATGGAGTCTTTCATAGAACATGATGCTTTTAGTATTAATAAATGGATTCTGTTTTTGTTGTTCTATCTAAAAATTTATTACCGAACCCAAAGTCACCTAGATTTTCTCCGGTCTTGTCTTCTAGGAGTTTTATAGTTTTGTACTTTACATTTAGGTCTGTGTCCCATTTTGAGTTAATTTTTGTGAAGTGTGTTAGTTCAGTGTCTTGTCATCTCTTTGGATGTAGATGTTACTGTATAGATGTTACTGTATCACTGTTGAAAAGACCATCCATTCTCCATTGGTTTATCTTTGTTTGTCAAGAGATCAGCTGACTGTATTGTGTTGGCCCATTTTTGGTCTCTCTATTCTTTTTCACTGATACACTGTCTATTCCTTTATTAGTATCACACCTGTTTTTAGAGTAAGTCTTGAAGTCATGTAGTGTCAGTCCTCTGAATTTGTTTTTCAGCATTGTGTTTGCTATTCTGGGTCTTTCATTTTTCCATATAAACTTAAAATTAAACTGAGCAGGACCCTGTGGGGTCCTGGGCGTGGAAGCCTTTCTGTCCCCTTCATTTCTTGTTTATAAGAAACAGACTCCAGTCTCCATGACCTTCCCTGAGTTTCAAAGGAAAATTCAAACAGTTGCTAATTGAGAAAGGGAGGAGATGCAGAGACTAGGGAGGAGAAGTCAAGAAACCATCTGAGGCAAGATTAGAGGAACCAGGGAAGCTCATCAAAATTAAGAGACCGCTTGAGACAAGATTTAAAGCATATAGACCCTGCACACATTCTAATCTTGTTCAGTTCAGTTCAGTTGCTCAGTCGTGTCTGACTCTTTGTGACCCCATGGACTGCAGCACACCAGGCCTCCATGTCTTTCACCAACTCCCAGAGCTTCCTCAAATTGATGTCCATCAATTCAGTGATGCCATCCAACCATCTCATCCTCTGTCATCATCTTCTCCTCCCACCTTCAATCTTTCGCAGTATCAGAATCTTTTCAAATGAGTCAGTTCTTTGCATCAGATGGCCAAAGTATTGAAGTTTCAGTTTCAGCATGAGTCCTTCTAGTGAATGTTCAGGACTGATTTCCTTGAGGATGGACTAGTTTGATCTCATTGCTGTCCAAGGGACCCTTAAGAGTCTTCTCCAACACCGCAGTTCAAAAGCATCAATTCTTCTGCACTCAGTTTTCCTCATAGTCCACTCTCACATCCATACATGACTACTGGAAAAACCATAGCTTTGACTAGATGGACCTTTGTTGGCAAAGCAATGTCTCTGCTTTTTAATATGCTGTCTAGGTTGGTCATAGCTTTTCTTCCAAGGAGCAAGTGTTTTTTAATTTCATGGTTGCAGTCACCATCTGCAGTGATTTTGGACCCCCCAAAAATAAAGTCTCTCACTGTTTCCCCATCTATTTGCCATGAAGTGACGGGACCAGGTGCCATGATCTTAGTTTTCTGAATGTGTTGAGCTTTAAGCCAACTTCTTCACTCTCCTCTTCCACTTTCATCAAGAGACTCTAGCTCTTCTTTGATTTCTGCCATAAGGGTGGTGTCATCTGCATATCTGAGGTTACTGATATTTCTCCCAGCAATCTTGATTCTAGCTTGTGCTTCATCCAGTCCAGCATTTCTCATGATGTACTCTGCATATAAGTTAAATAAGCAGGGTGACAATATACAGCCTTGATGTACTCCTTTCCTGATTTGGAACCAGTCTGTTGTTCCATGTCCAGTTCTAACCATTGTTTCCTGACCTGCATACAGATTTCTCAAGAGGCAGGTCCAGTGGTCTGGAATTTCTGTCTCTTGAAGAATTTTCCACAGTTTGTTGTGATTCACACAGTCAGAAGCTTTGGCATAGTCAATAAAGCAGAAGTAGATGTTTTTCTGGAACTCTCTTGCTTTTTTGATGATCTAGCAGAGGTTGGCAATTTGATCTCTGGTTCCTCTGTCTTTTCTAAATGAAGCTTGAACATCTGGAAGTTCACAGTTTGCGTATTGTTGAAGCCTGGAAGTTCCTGCTTCATGTACTGTTGAAACTAATCTCGTTAGCAACCAAAAACTTGAATTATTGCTATGAAACTCCTCACCAAATCCTCCCAAGTTGGGACACACAGTTTTTGGGGGTTTAAAGCCTACTCTCTCTCCCTTTGCCTGCAAAGCAATTAAACTATTTTTCCTACTTTACCTAAAACTGTCTCCAAGGTTCAATTTGGCATCAGTGCACAGAGGCTGATCTTTTGGCATGAGAATCAGTTTGTCAGTATTCATGAAGTAT